TTATATATACTTTATCAAATGCTTTTCTCTGTCCAAAGTAACACATTTTAATTTCTAAATAACGCATTCTTTCGGTTGAATTTGTGGAAAACTGAGAAACAGAAATGTGGATTCAAGCATTGCCCGTCCAAGTCCATCGAGGCCAGTGAGTTAGACATAGCAGAACAGTGTGACAGATCATTGAACTTTAAAAAAATTTTGAAAACTTTTTCAAAAAGTGAATCCATTTTTTTGTACTGCTTTTCATGGTAGACAAAGGAGGATAATGAACTGATGTCTTGTTATGCTTTGGTAATGGACTCTCACAGGGAGTCGGGGATGACAGAGGGTGGCAGAGAGTTAGAAGCAGGGCAGCGAAGGGGAGGCTTTCTTCTGTGTGTGTCAGCCCTTCGCGGCAGAGAGCCTTTCCTCAGATGTAGCTCTAACTATAAGAGAACCAAGGAAAGGAAGCCGGGGATTTGGGATATGCTGTACTGTATTTCAAAACTGAGTTGATGGTGAAGCCATTGAAAGTTGTTTTTAAAAGGTTCGGTGGCAGTCAAGCAGTATCTCATCTGTTATTAATTAAACAAAACTGGACTCAGTAGAGCACAACAGTGAATGAAAGGTCAGTGAATGGAAAAAGCTGTCAATGAAGGAGGATGTCAGCAGGGTGGAACATTGTCAGAGATAAAGATCGGGGAAAATATGCTCTTGGCTGAGGTAGTGTTCCATGGAAGTGTCTAGGAGCTACAGTTTGGGACATTTTAAGCCATTCTGAAATGAATGAGTGCTCAGATTTAATTGAAATATATTTAATATTTTAAAATATTGGACACTTTTTATGCTAGATATTAGTTGAAAATATTTGTAAAGAAGAGGTTCTTGTTTGATGATGTGTTTTACAAGGTAGTATTTGTTTGCTTCGGCTTTTTTTTTTGTTCTGAGATTGAATAGTGTGTTTTTGTTTGATTTGTTTTTTTTCACTTATTTCTGTCCCTGTCGTGGAATTTTTTAGAGCCACGTTCACTTTCGAGGCATACTGAGGTTAGTGATCAAAGACCTCTGTGCTCATTAGTGAAAGACCGGGATGGCTCTGAACAGCCAGGCTGGCTGGCTGAGTACATGATTGTTGTGGACTTGCATCTGAAAATTGTTCTGTAGAGGGTGCTGGAAAGCCAAGATGTGGCTTCAGTTCCACCACCAACTTGGAAACTGCAGTCATGAATGAGCCAGTGACTGTGTTTACATTTCAGTTAGTTCCTGTGTAAACTCTGATGTGGGTTATATGCAAAGTGTATTTGAAGAGTCTCTTACGTCTCTGGTCATGTCAGGCCCCCCTTTTTTCATTGAAATGTTTGAACAGTATAGCTTTGGGGAAGTGAACTCTTCCATCATTTGGGGAGCGAGTGTGACCACTGCTAGTCTGGTGCTGAGCACTGTCAGGTCACAGTGGAGCTGGGCCCCACGCTTGTGGACAAGGCTGTCCTTGCATCGGGGAAGAGTTGGAGCTAATGCCACAGGACTTAGGTGCACTCCTTCTAGGTCTGCCCAGTGCTACACAATGTGATTATTTTCTTTTCTCTACAGGAGAATAGTAATTATTGTCTATATCATAGAGTAGTTATAAAGATGGAGGAAATATTTTTTAAGTGTTTAAAGCAGTGCTTGTCACACAGTAAATTTTCAGAACATTCTGTGACTATTACATGATTACTTATCTCATTTATAAGTATGATTACTTATAAAATTAAAATGGAATTCAAGTACAGTTTCCTTGGATCTTCTGGTTTATCCTTCCCTGAGAACATTTATTGGAACATTGTTTTGTTAGATTTAAATGGCAGTCCATCCTATGAACTAACTGTAGCAGAGCCAAAAGAAAAAAATAAGACTGTCCTTTACCAAGACACAGGATCACCTAATTTTATGAAAGTTACAACTTAAAGTTGTACAATTAATTAGAATCAAAATAGTGCCTGTCAGTTATGTTGGGTGGATATAAGGAAAGAAAGATGAGAATCTTTGCTGTTTACTGTTGGAACTACTGCGAGGGGAAAAGCTTCACCTACCAATTTTAGTATATGTGCTGCCGAAGTGAGCACAAGCTTCGCCTTAAATAATAACTGCATGACACAATTAGAGAAACGGAAAAGGAGCAAAACGTGAATAGAAATAAAGCTAAATCGAAACAGTGGGCACTCCTAGCCCAGCACTACCTGCCCCCCTTGCTGAGGTCGTCTGCAGGGTGTATTTGCAGTGTAGGGGTTTGGATTGACTTGTATTTGCAGTGTAGGGGTTTGGAAGTTTCAGTTCCACTAGCAATTAATAGATTTTTAGCAGGAAATCCGTGGTCAAATAAGTTTGGAAAAGTTTATTTCGCTCAAATAAATCAAACTGGTTTCTTTGAAGATACTTTTTGGATCCTTTAATATGCTAACGAGTGCCGTGACTCTCGCAGAGAGATAGGAGATGCAGTGTTTCTCTTCGTTTTTGGACAGAATCTTCCATCTTACAAGCCTCTTGGAGGACAGCAGTGTTGTGAAGCACTTTGGGGAAGGTAACTTACAAGCAGTGCTTTTCTCCTGGTGTCTAAAGAGGTGGTAGCTAAACAGTTAGTGGCAGATCAAGGGTGGAGGAAGCCTCACAGATGGTGCTGTTCTTGTACCTACAAACACTACGGTGGAATAATAATCGCCGATACCTGTCGAGGACTTGCTGTGTTCCACACAGAGAATACTCAGACGTGTTAACTAATCATCTTAACAACCGTATGAGGTAGCTGTGATCATCATCCTCGTGTTATAGACGAGGAAGCCAAGAGCCAAAGGGCCTACATAAATTTATCAAGTAAGACAGCTGGAAAGTGGTGAAGCCGGGATGAGCACTCATGCAGGAGCTCATGCTCTTGTTTTCTCTGCTGGGCCTTGTGTGTATGTGCCACAGCCTCTATGTGTGCACATGAGGGCGGGCCAGCAATGGCATCCCTGGGTGAGAGATAACTGAGTTTTGTATGGCTGAAGGTCACGTTTGGAAATCCTAAGAAATGAAACTACACAGATCCTGAAGGCCTCATACATCACAAAGGAATTTCTGATCCTGTAATGGACCTACTCTGTCCAGCACATGACCTTAAAAACTTCAGTAAGTTTACGAACTGAAAATGCAGATAAGTAGCCAGTTGGAGGCCAGGAATATACTCTGACCATTTGGAGGTGGCACAGTTGTCACAGCTTCCTGCCATCTTAGCTCACTGTGTCTTGGGCCCTGCACTGAGCATGGACAGTAGACAGGAGTCGCGCCGGATCATGCTTGAGTTGAACATAGCACAGAGGTGACAATAAGGGCTTTCTCCTCCTCTCAGCTCCTAGCCCTACCTGCAGTTTTGGAACATAACAGCTTAGACAAGTCTGTTAGTAGGAGATGAAGATAACTTTAGTGAGGTTTTTAGGGTCTTCTCTGAGGCTCAATGAAAGAGGTAGTAAAAAAAAAGTGGGATTGTATTATCGTCCAATCAGAATTAACATATTGTTTTTTAATTTAAAGTATTGAATAGTAATATGAATTAATACTATTATAAATATTCTCTATAATTCAAATCTTGGTTCCTGAGTTTGGGCTTATTAAGCAATGAGCATTTGGATGGCAAGGGATTTATATGAGTTTGTCAGAATCTATTTGGCTCCTGGATTTGAATTCAGATAGCAAGAAATATTTAGATTGGAACCCCAGGTAAATCTTCTTTCTCCTCCAGTGGGCTGTGAGAGTTCCTCCTTCACTTAGGAGAGGTGGTGAGATTGTACCCTAATGAGGGTCACAGAGCAGAGCATTCGAAGGGAAGGACTAGAATAAAGCTGAACTCTCTGAGCCCAGGAATCTTGCCACAAGCCCTCCACGTACCCAAAGCAGAGTAGGGTCAGCCAACACTTCTTTTTCATTAGGGCTCAGCAAAATGAGCAGATCTCCAGATGGTACTGGTAATCATGGGGAACCTTAACCTTGATTAACTGCGTAGAGTCTAAGAACTTGATAGTCTGTTTCTAAGAATAAGAGGTGAATTTTTTTTATATCTTTAAAATGAAAAAATATGCAAGGTGGGATGACTGAAAGTGAATTCTAGAACAATTTTAGCATGACCAATTTTATTTTAAAGAAGTAATTCAGCCTTGGTGTACAATTTTAAAACTTTTTATTTTATGAAAAATAAAATTTCATAACCAAAAAAGAGAATAACAATAGCTATTACACTGTGTCATTATCTTCAGAGTAGTTACTCAAAGTACAAGACATAAACCAAAAAGATTCTTTAAAAAAAATCCCAGATAATAACACAACATTTTTCAGTAACAAAAAATAGCCTAGTACTATAAATGAAACACACTGGCATATATATTGAAATATTTTTAAAACAACAGAATATGTAATTTGCAGTATTCATATACAATGGGGTACTATGCTGCCATAAAGAAAGATACACTTCAGGCATTTGTAGGTAATGGATGGAATTTGAGACCATCATGTTAAGAGAAGTAAGTCAGAACACAAGCTCAAATATCAGATGGTTCTCCCCGCAAAAAAACATGCAGATAGTGCACAAAGTAGAGCAATAAATAGGAAGTAGAGAGATGTTCACATTTTTTTAATATCCCCATTTTGCTTCTATGAATAAATGGCTTGGCTTTTTGCCACTGACTAAAAATTCTCTTTATGTTCCACAAAAAGAAGTCTGCTTGAGGATAGGAAGTAGGGAGCAAATGTCATAGGGTGTGCGAGGACAAAGGAAACATTTGAGAAGGCGAGGGGTCACTCCCAAGGGCCTTCAGGATGTGCACATCCATATTGTGCCTCGTACACCTGGCTCGGTGCTGGGTAACACATCAGGGTTAGCGTCGGCAGTTGGAGAGGGATTCGTGCACAATGGTAGCCACTTGGATCTGTGAGATTTGATTTTTCTGCTTTAAACCACTTCGTCGGGTAGTAACGGAAGGTGCCTGGTATAATTTTATAATGTTTATTCTCAGGTGGGTTTGCCGAGTTCTCTCGTTGTTTCCCTGGCCTCTGTGAAGGAAAATCTACCCTAGTCCCTACCTGCATTTCTCAGCCTTGCTTACCTGTTGCCAACATTGGGCCAACCCGAATTCTTCCCAATCTTTATCTTGGCTGCCAGCGAGATGTCCTCAACAAGGTGGGTGCTTTGAAAATATCCTTCACTGCTGGGTTTATTGGTAGCAGCTGGAAAAACAGCAATTGTCCATTAACTGTCATTTGAAACACAGTGCCATCCCAGAAAGGGAGTACACTGTTCTCAGTGTGACTCCCCAGCTAACAGTTGCATCATCTTTTGGAGTGTTATTTTGTCTGATGTTATTTATTGCCACAGGAAATCCAAACTATGGTCACATTTTCTTGTTTTCCTTGTAGGTCCAAGAGACCTGAACTAGGACAGGCTTTTTAGCCTTATTAGGCTATGGTTTATTGTAGAAATTGGGTGCATGCAGCAAGGTTAATACAGTCACATGTAGAGATGTATTTATTGCCGCACTCTGGAAGGGGACTCAGATTGGGCTCCGACTGAAGGAGGTGTTCATGAAGACCCCTGGGCTGGAGGGTGGGGGAGGTGGTAAAGTACGGCAAGAGTGGTAAGCAGTGGTCAAGATCAAGGCTGCACGTATGTACTGCCAGCCTCATTATGTCTAAGGCTTGTTGGAAGAGCTCTGTTGAGTAAAAAGAGCAAAAAGCATGGATTCTTGATGAAGGGGTTGGCAGTACTGAGTCGGCACACACTAATAGAGGAACACAGATTGGGGACCCCCAGTATGTAATGGTACAAACATAACAGTAGAGCTATAATCTGACTCCACAGTTACATGCTTTTATCCAGCAGTGCTGTAAAACAGTTTTCTTTAAAACTTCTTAACTTGTCACCACAGATTGAAAAGGCAATCAGAGATCTTAATGCAGCTACAGGCAATTTACAAATGCTCATTTCCTTTGTGAAGGGCTATAGGAGCTCTTAATGTTTTCTCCTGTAGTGTGACTAGAACAATCAGACCACAGCTTTCTCTAGTGAGCTAGAGAAAGAATGAAAACAAATACCTACCTTTGGGCAGCAATGAGGCATTATTATTATTTTTTTATTTTGTTTTTGGTACCAGGGATGGAACTCTGGACCTTGCTCTTGCAAGGCAGATGTCGGAACCACTGAGCTTAATTCCCAGCCCAAGGCATTATTATTTATTCCTCTTTTTCCCTCAAGATTTGTGCCTCTTTAAAATTTTACTTCAAATCTGTGTTGTTAATGTTTGTTCTTATTGTGAGATGTGCCTATTTGAGATCTTATAGCTTATGCTTGTATGGAGCCTTTCTGATAGGGTCTCCTTGCCTTTGAGCTTTTGCTTATTATTAATTTTATATGCATACTACACTACAGAAAGCAAAGTTAATTTTCTGAAGTCACATGCATTCTTGAGGCAAAGCCAGAGAGGGTTTACTTAGTCCCCAAATTGGAAAATAAAATTCCTAGTTAAGGATCCTGTTTAATCTGGTAAACATTAACCAGTTAGGTAATTCTACATGGTGATTTTGTTATTTTTGACATTAAATTAAATGGCACATTTGTTTTGCTCTGTTTTTTTCAAATTCAAGAAATGTCAGTTCACAACTTGGTTGAACACCTATAAAGTGACAGGAGTTAAACCAGGACCTAGACTTGAGAATAGGGAAAGAATGGTTTTCTGTTTTGCATTGCCTTCCTGCCTCCTAAACACGCAGCAAGTAGGATACATGCAGTACTTGTGAGGGGAGAGCGGGCTTAGGACAGCCTGGTTCAGCAAGGAATTGTAATGCAGCACTGTCCAGAAGCTGCTTCCACATGGACGTGTAGATTTGGAAAAGTGAGAAATAACACTGGTAGGCAGGACAGCTTTGAAGGTGTTGAGTTGGAGTTTGCATTCAAGGTTGATATTAATTCTCATTGTGGTCTTTCAGAATTGTTCCCTTTGTTTATACACCAAGCTATTTTGTTTATTCTGCTGCATTACATTCATTAGATCTCTCTATCACTGATATCTGGCTGCCTTATATACAGTAAGTGCAGTTCGTTATCAGTGGGATTGCTTGTTCTCTATGCCCATGGCACCCCATATAGTATGTTGATGCACAGAAAATTTCTGTGACATGCCTTTGACATACTTTGGTGACATTTTATTTTAGAAAGACTAATAAAATTAGTGACTTTGTGGAAGCTAGTTTTAGAAACCAACTTCTAGCCAGGCATGGTGGCACACACCTGTAATCCCAGCACTCTGGAGGCTGAGGCAGTGGGGTCACTGTGAGTTTGAGACCAGCCTGGGCTACATAGTGAGCTCCAGGTCAGTCTCAACTACATAGCCAAAAAAAACAACCTCTGGATTTTAATAGAATGGGGTGTACCATTAGGGAAGATTATAAAATTTTAGCATGTCTTAAAAAATTCTTTAAGTGAACATAACTCCTAAAAACTTTCTCATGATGTTAACTCAGCAAACCCCTTAATAAATTTGAGAAACAGGCAAAATAGTCTTTCACAAATTATGAAATGAATGGAATATTGATGAATGACATTTGGTTATTATAAAATGAAAATGTATAAGGAACATATAAAGATTCTTTATCAAAAGACACCAACAAACTAGTTATTAGATCCTGATTTTAATGATTTGAAGGATAATGAATCATTCATCAAATACTACTGTGTGTCGGACTATGTTCTGGGCTCTGAGAACACCAATAAATGGGAGGGAAAGGTCTGTTTTCATGAGCTGATCTCCTACAGGAAAAGAAATTTGACAGCATAATAATTAGCTAAGCTCGACAGTAATTTATTACTGATTACCTATTATGGTGACAAGTGCTATGAAGAAAGAGCAGGAAACAGGGAGTGTCTGTGGGTGTGGGCTGTGATAAAAGGGGTGGTAAAGAAAAGCCTTGGGGAGAGAGAGACATCTGAATGATACTTGGAGATCAAAGAGCAAGCCATTTTGGATATCTGGAGGAAGAGCAGCACAGGCGGAGATTAGTGTTGTCCACGTGACAAAGGAAGGGCAAGGAGACCAAGGTGGCTGGGGCAGAAGGAGCCTGCAGTGTGGTCAAAATACAGAGGGAGGAGATCAAGAGTACAAGACATTGTAGGCTTTGTGCCAGCTTTTGCAGCTAGAGCCATAACTCAGTGGTAGAGCACTTGCCTGGGATGTATGAGGCCCTGGATTCAATCCCTCTGCACTGCCAGAAGAAAAAACATTAGCTTTTGCCAGCATGGTAGCACATATCTGTGATCCCAGCTACTGAAAGCTGAGACAGGATGATTGCAAGTGTGCATTCTGAAACTCCAGCACCCCAAAAACGTTTTTTTAAAATGTTAGCTTTTACTCTGAGAGACAGGGAGTCTCTGGAAGGTGCTGAGCAGAAGAGTAATATGATCAGACTTGCTTCTGTGTGGAAAGTAGGCTATATTCCATATGAGGAGGAAGCCACATGGTAGTAAGACAGAATCAGGGTGGTAGCAGTGGTGCGAAGTGGTAGGAGTCACGTTCTTTTTAAACATAGCCAGTTTTCTTATGGCATGGACAGATCAGGTGCATGCAAAAGACAGGTGTCAAAAAACTGGGAGATGCACCTGCCGTGGGAAAGCCTATGGGAAGAGGACAGTTGTATTGGGCTTGCTAGCTTGGAAAGCCTGTTACACTTCCAGTTGAGTGTGCTGAGCAGGCAGACGGGGTATGAATCCAAGACTATGTCCCTGCAGGATGTATAAATGTGGAGGGTCATTAATGTACAGATAGTATCTAATGCCATAAAATAATGATTATTAAGAGAGAATATGTAATTGAAGAAAAGGACTAAGCCATCAGGCATTCCAACATTAAAATCTGGGCATTTGAAAAGGATCCAGCAAATGGTATTTAGAAATAAATGCTGAAGGGAAATCAAGAGATTGTAGTAGTCCAGGAAATAAATAACAAAGTGTTTTCTAGGAAGACAGAGGAATGAGATACGCCAGGTAGTGGGACAGGCCAGTGGAAGGTGAGAGTTGAAGGCTGGCTGTTGAGTGAGATGGAGATCTCTGGTGATCTTCAAGGAGTTTGGGTAGAGTGGTGGAGAAAACTGGAACAGAACGGGTTCAGGAGGTAACAGGACGAGAGGAATTGGAGACAGCAAATCAGTGTTAGCAGCTCTTTCAAGAAATTTTGCTAATAAGAGTAGCAAATATGTGGAGCAATAGTTGGAGGAAAAAATGGAGAGGAGAAATAATGGTTGGTTGAATTGTTGATGGAGGGAATGACCCAAGGAGAGTGGAGAATTGATGCAGGAGAGAGGCAGAGAATAGCTAGAGCCATATCTTGAATAAATGGGGTGGGCTTTAGTAAGCAGTGAAGGTCTGGCCGTAGGCATGTGGACAAGATTATCCACGGTAACGAGCAGGAAGGCAGAGTAGATAGGTGCATGTGCTGGTAGAAGGGTAAATGTGGAGGTGGAAGTCTATCAAGTTTCTTCTGTTTCTTTTTCCAGTGCAGTTGGGAACAGGATCATCGGTCAGCTTAGAGTGCGGATGAGGAGGGACACGGAGTTTGAAGAAAAAGGGAAGCGTGTGAAAAGGCAACTTAGGGAAAGTGAAGGGACTAGACAAACAGGGATTGCTGAGTGGAAAGTGAGCACAGGTAGTGAGTGCTCTGGAGTCTTCCCTGGCCTTGTTCAGCTGTCTGGGTGCAAATGCAGACAAGCCAGAGAACTGGTTTTGACTGGGTTTTGGAATTCTGCCACCCAGGAGTGAAGAGGTGATAAAGGGGCAGAGGGATTGAGGTAGGGAGCAAGGGAGTGATCCTAATGACTGACACGGTTAAGCTGGGAAGAGAGCAGGCAGACGTGGAGATGGGAACAGATGTGGGCAGGGTGATCAGACTGTAGACGGGCAGGAGCCTGAGGGTTCTGGGAGTAGGGGCATGAGTGAGAGCGAGCTGCAGAGTGGGCTGTGTGAGACAGGTTACGGAAGGGTCGCGGGGACTGATAAGGATGAGACCAGGCAAGACTGCAGGGGCAGCAAGCGGCTGGGGTGCAAGACCCAAGGAGCCAGAGTATGTGACAGCTAGGGAAGGGTTTATCTTACCAGTCAGAGGCATGTGTTAGCACACTTGGTGTAAAGTGGAGCTAAACACTGAAGAGAACTCGATGATATTTTCTTGAAATTTAAATATGATAATGTTTAATTATGGGACAGAATATTCAGTTTTATATATGTTTTAGACATCATGTCAAAACAAAACCAAGTGATTATATAAATACTTATAATTTAATGAGACAGCAATTCTATCCATAATTAAAAATAATTCTATAAAATACTCATTTTTCATAATTATAGTTGTCTCATGTCTGCCATTAAAAACCTTAAATGCTCTATCAGCCTCGTGTATGTATGCCCATAAAAAATTAAGCAAAATGAATCAGCAAGTAAGTAGAATAGTTCTACTTCAGAAACTTCCTCAGCTGACGTTTCTCCATGTCCTCAGCAGGCTGGGTGGCAGCTGCGGCTGGAATATGTCTGCCTCCGCCATCCCACAGTGTACTTGCTGGAAGTTAGCTTTGTGTGCAGATCTGTTTGGTACCGTAATAGTGCACATTAATAAAATATTACATGTACTAATGAAATATGGGTGAGGAAAAAGGGTTGTTTCTGTATGACCTAATTAAATGTTTTGGAAAGATTCAAGAAAAAGTTGGTTTATTTCCCTGTCACATTAGGTGGGCATAAGCAATTGTAAAATACTTGGCAGCTGTTATCTCAAAGGCTGCTATACCAATGGTTTCACAAGTCCTTGTTCCATAAAAAGTGGAAACTATAACTGGTAGATGCATTTGGGTGAGATTTGCCTAAGAACTCCAGTCAGCTGACCTAGAAAAGAAATAGTCAAAAAATACACAACCTGGATAAATGTCTTCTCAAATAACCTCTTCTCTCCTGAGTCACTCCCAAGCCTTCTTGAAAAAGTCTGTGACCAGAATGCTGCTGCTTTGTCTTTTAGAGTTAAAAAAGGCAAAACAATGCATTGGAACTTCAGTCTACTACTTCACTTAGTTGAAGCGTATACACGTACACTAGATACTCCATCGTCCCGTCTCATTTGCTGTGGAGGAAACTTAGGAGAGCAAGGCGAGGAGGAGGGTGGATTCTGGCAAGCTAGCAAGACGGGAGCCGTCACGTAACCTCTCGGCCTGTTTCTTCACTTGGGAAACGAGAATGGTGACACCGCATCCAGAGGGGTGCGAGAATTCAGTGAGAATCTATTTAAGTGCTTCACACAGGCCCACCTTGCAGCAGGATCAGAGGTGAGGCAGATTCCTCGCCGCATCCCTTGTCCCGTGTCTCCTAACAGGCTCCAGCCAAGGTGCACGTGTAGTTTTCACTGACTGCAGTTATCATTTCCACAGAGCACAGGTTACTGGGTGAGGTGTCAGAAGTACGTCCTGTCAGTCCGTCTGTGACGGCTTTTAGTGACACGCAGCATGTTTCCCAACACTGCCCGACTCCTCTGGATCGTGTACACAGCTGCCGTCACTCTCTTCTCAGAAACTCCCACCACACCATTACTGAATTGGGTGGGCTGGGATATCGCTATGTCCGTTTGCCTTCTTGTGGTGCTGGGGATCGAACCCAGGGCCTTATATATGCTGACCCACTCTACCAGTGAGGTCCATCCTCAGCCCATATAATTTGCATTTTGAGGAAGTGTCTGAGTTGCCCAGACTGCTGTCAAACCTGCTATGCTCCTTCCTCAGCCTTCCTAATACCTGGGCTCAGGTACATCACACCCAGCTTCCATTTTAATTTATGAATCTGTGGTACTGCTGATAGAAATATAACAGGGGCCTGGTGTAGTGGCACATGCCTATAATCCTAGCGCTCTGAGAGGGCGAGGCAGGAGGATCACAAGTTCTGACCTGCATGGCAACATAGTGATTTAGCAAGACGCTGTCTCAAAATAATAAATTTTTTTAAAGGGGAGAAGCGCTGTGGATGTAACTCAGGGAAGGTCCTGGGTTCCATCCGCAGTGCTGAAAAAAAGAGAGGGGAGGGAAGGAGAGCAGGAGGATTACTCTAGTTGTTAAGAATATGGTTTGAAGAGAAAAACACTGAGAACTTCAAGAGCCCCCTGGTGACAATTTAGCTGTCTTGGTGAGGACTGAGCACTGAATAAGACAAAGAGGGTAACTGGGAGAAAAGTTAGCGGGGGTCTGGTAGCATTTGGGGGAGTAAATAGAGTGGCCAGATGATCTTATTTTCTAGCTCAACTGGTTGGGTGATGCTGTTACCATCAGCCAATCTGGGGATTACCAAGAATTGGAGTTTGGGGCAGAGAAAGTGAGAGGGATAATGTATTTAATCTCTGACATTTTTAATTCGAAGGACCAGTGGGATACCCTAATATCAGTAGGTACTTGGAATTTAAGGGAAGATACAGACTCTCACAGGCAAAACACACAGTGGCATGTGAAGCTGATGAAAAAAGCTATGGAAATAGATGGTGTCTTCAAAAAGAATATTGAGAAGAATGCCCAGGACTGCATCTGAGACAGCCAGCGTGTTTAGTGTGGGAAGACATCCTTGTGTGTACAGATACTCGGAGTCACATAAACGGTTGTTTCATTCTGTAGTTTCTCGTTCTAGTGGTGAAGATACTAGAGTTGTCTATATGAATGTTATGTGAACTTCAGGCATACTATTAAACAGCCTTTTTTCTCCCCTCTCAAACTTAAATCTAAATATTTTCCTGAGCTTTGGAGTTCCTCTGATGTGAATGATTTTAAGGAAACTAGTAATTTTTATAACATTAAACTTTAATCTTTCAAAGTGATGATGTGATTATATTAAGTCACTTTAATTGCTCTTTCCCTCCATAGGAGCTCATGCAACAGAATGGGATTGGCTATGTGTTAAATGCCAGCAGTACCTGTCCAAAGCCAGACTTTATCCCCGAGTCTCATTTCCTGCGTGTGCCTGTGAATGACAGCTTCTGTGAGAAAATTCTGCCCTGGTTGGACAAATCAGTGGATTTCATTGGTGAGTGGCTCAGTGGCAATCCTTGGTTACAGTGTCTTGTGCAGGTGCGGCCTCTTACTCCCACTTTGCCTTTAGAGGAAAGAAAACTACTTCCGAAATGTCAACTCTGAAAACAGCACATTCAGTGGTGAAGGGGATGTGTGCTCCATGCTGTCCCTAAGGGACTGGGCTTGTGACCTCCTGGCTGTGAACAGTACTAAAGCTGAGCCTTCACAGGTCCGTGATTGTATGTTGTCTGAACATCAGGCTGCTGGAGTCTCCATTGCCTCGCTTCGAAGTGCTTTCCCGAGAAAAGTCAGTTCTGTGAAAACAGATCCCATTACACTGGCAGTCTTTTTTTATGTCACAGGATGTCTGACCCTCAGTCCATGCGTCAGTTTTCGTGGGTCTAATGAAATTCCAACCCAGGCACACACAGGTGCACGTGTAGTCATCTCCTGGCAGTGTAGACCGCAGTTGATCTTTCCCTTGCCTTGTTTTGTGACCCTTGGTGCCAGTCACATCTCCTGGTAGGGTGTTGGCGATACGCACTTGAAGTGGTTTCCCTGTAGAGCGGCTGAGCACAGGTAGAAACAGCACCCTCCTGAGCAGTGTGACGAGGTGTGGTCACTGTCTTGGGGAGGAATTTTTATTTTTTCCCCCAGTCCTGTAAGTTTGAGTACTCAAAATTAGTTACTGTAATTAAAAAAAAAAAAACACCAAAAAAAACCAGTTCCTTAAAAAAAGTTAAGCTATATAATCAGGCCCTTGCTCTTTATTTTTTGAGACAGGGTCTTGCTGTGTAGTCCAGGATGGCCTTGAATGTAACCCAGTCTAACCTCAAACTTGCAGCAGTTCTCCTGCCCCAGCCTCCTGGGTTTTGAGATTGCAGGCGTGGGCCTATATTTGAGAGGAATTCTAGGCAGTGCCTTCAGAGTGCTAAATAATTCTGAAACCATTCTTTCAAGATTTCCAGATTGCTGAGGGCTTTCATCTTCAGGAACTTACTCTGAAAATCTGAAGATAAACAGCTATGACTGTTTCAATGTGAACCATCATAAAGAAAATTCCCAAAATTAACTCTTCCCATTGTAGTTCAAGGAAATGTATTCAGCTTAGCACTCAGTTTTTGCCTCTTTAAAATGTTTCAGCTAGAAGTACAATTTGAGAATTTGTTGAAGAGAATGTGACCTTGTTGGGAGTTTATCTGTGTTTAATTTGCGTGGTCTGCTACTGTGGCCACTGCTGTGTCCACCGAAATAACACAAGGCAGAGCTTCCACGTTTTCCCGTTCACTGCAGTTGCCAGTCATCTCTGCATGGCGAGCTCCACGTGCGTGCTGCGAAGATGTACCCCAGACTGCACTCAGCAGTTTGAAGGCTTACAGAGTTTTTTGTTATTTAAATTTCAGTAGGTCTCTGGGGCAGGGGGAGGACTTAGGAGTTGTCACAGACTTTCACTTTTTAACAGGCGGCAGTGCCTGCTGACCTGCTGTGCTGTGGGCCCAGTGGCTGCTTGCACAGGCCCTGCCCCTCCTCAGCACCCACCCAGCTCCCCACACCGAACTCAGCACCTGGGCAGGCAGAATAGGGAGGCCAAGATGGTGTACGTTGAGCCTCTTAGCTAAGTGGTTTGGGGCAAGATACTTCACACTTGTGTCCCTCCCTTACAGGGCTGTAATGGGTGCTGAAGTAGATAGTGTGTGTTTATGCTGAGATGGAGGTCTCCCTGTTCTGCGCACATAGTGCTCCCCAGGTGGGTGGACCACAGGCACTATCATCGTGCCCAGCTTACAAGTTGTCACGCGGAGTGTCCCTTTGTAACGCTGCCTTTTTAGCTCTGTAACTCATTTTTGTTAGATCCTTGTTCGTTTGTGGTCCTTCCCCGCTACCGCCTGTAGAGCCAAGATTTTTAGCTGAGTTTCTGTAGCACCACCCTCCTATGTATGTTTCCTGGGACACCTTGTCACTGCCTTCTTGCTTCCTGTTTGGAACCTGCGGAGGCTCCTTAATTTCCTGCATACAAATGTGTCCTTCAGCCTAACATTCCCAGGAACTCCCCCACCAGTGCCTCCCCACCTGTGGAGCCTTCCCTCTGGTTATTCCCCACACTGCTCCTGAGTGCCAGCCAAGCCAGGCTGCTCATGGGCACTATATTCATGACCATCGCAGGGCTTTCTCAGCATGTTTGCCGCCGCCTCTCTGCTGGGCCCGTAAATTATCACTTCCTGTAGACTCAGCCCAGCACTCGTGTCTGCTGGAACCAGTGTGCCAAGGAAGCCCACTCCAGGATAAGTGCTTTTGATTGTTAAAAATACATTATCCAAACAGTTGTGGTTGCAAAAACAATGTAAGCACAATGCGCAAAATTTGAAAGAGAAAAGGAATCCTGTAACCTCAAGAAGGTAACACATTACTGCCATTGTTTTATTTCCTTCCACACTTTTCTCAATAGTATCAGCCATCCAGAGTGACCTAAGCACCTAACACTAGATCTTCTGGAGGATTGCTAGAACCAGGAAAGGCCATTCTAGGTCCTCATGGTCCAACTCTTGAGATATTTATTTAAAATAATGAGTATATGGTCAACATCTGGAGAGGGGGCTTAAACCATACCTACTTGTAATAAGGATTTGAAGTAGTTTACGGTAAGGGTTAGGGACCAAAAGATACATTAAGATGGGGTAAAGGGGCAAAAACCAAGCAAGATGGGACAAGGAAAGATACGCAGAAAAGCAAAATTGTTGTTTCTTAATGAAATTAAGTGAAAGCCTTAGCTTTGAGCTTCTTAGCAGTTAATGCAGAAGGGAGAATACTGAGGCTATATGCATCCATCTATGTATAATTTTGTATAGTGCTCTGGACTTTCAGTGTTGCGCTGTATTCACCTTTATTGTTTTGATGTGTTTGGTTTTCCTATCTAGAAGGGAAATATATTCATCTACTATCCGAAACTTGTAGGTTGTCTTGTACAAAGTCAAGTGAATACTATAGTGCTTTGGTTCACAAACTCAATTCTCTCCACAATTCTGGTCACAAACCAGGATGAGAGCTGAATCAAATTTCCCCTAATGTCAACACTGAACCTCAGGACTGAATTTGATTCGGTTCTCATCCAACTCAATTTGAAACCAAAATCATGGAAATAATCAAGTTCATGAACTGAGGCACCTCTGTATATTATACACACTAGAAATCTGTACTAGTTATAGGCAGTGAGACTGAAGCAGCCTTATACTATTCAGCTGCAGGAGCAACAGATTCCTTACATACTTGTCAATTTTAAGAATTTTAATGTAAGTTGTGATAAACTCTTGGTAGGACCAGTTAAAACAAAAATGAGAAGGGAAGAATGAGCCTGTAATCCCAGCACTCAGAGGCTGAGGCAAGAGGATTGCACATTCAAGTCCAGCCTGGATTCAATCTCTAGTACTAGAAGAGGTAGAACAAAAGAAGATGGGAGGAGGAGAGGTGGTAGTGGGCAGCAGCAGCTTTATGGCTAAGCACAAACATAACAGAACTGAGGCCACCCAAGCACTGCCCTGAGTGTTAGTGCTTCCGGTCTGTCTGGGGTAGCTCCATCTGCCCTCACAGGAAGTACGAGATGGCAAGGCCCTCGGAATCTCCCTGGTTCTCTGGTCCTAAGAGCATCCGTGAGTCTGCTGTTACAGGGAACTGAGATGATGTAGTAAGACCATAACTTCTAAGTGTCAAGAATCCTTATTGGAGTGACTTAGCCTGATCCCTAGTGTATTTTTTCTTAAATTCAGCAAGTTGAGCCATTTTATAACATACAGAGAAGTTTCCTAAACACAAGAATATAGGTTGTATGGATTTGAGCATTTTAAAGTAACTTCATCCGGGGTGTGCGGCTCAGTGGTACATGCATGCTTGAGGGCCTAGGTTCACTCCTAAAAAAGATGTCTGGCAGCTGTGCTGGAAGTAGCTGAGATTTGCTTTGAGGTTTTGGGGTGAAGACACTGGGCAAATGGCACCAAGACTTCATTGCTGGCTTTTTACCAGTGCCCTTTCTTGAATTTCATGCATCCAGAGAAAGCAAAAGCATCCAATGGATGTGTCCTGGTCCACTGTTTGGCTGGGATCTCTCGCTCTGCCACCATCGCTATCGCCTACATCATGAAGAGGATGGACATGTCTGTGGACGAGGCCTACAGGTGAGCATGGGAGCAGGTGCAATGCTGGTAGCCAGATGAAAGCAGGCCACCTCTGTTTTAATCACACACTATACGCTTACCGTGGATGTTTACCTAAATGGCCCTGCCAAGCCTGGAGAAGAGCACAATTTTAATATCTGGCATTCATTCTGACTTAATGTATCATACTCACCCTCCACTACTTTTTTAAGTCTCAGAAATAACAAATCCAGGCAGAGATTTGCCTCCTCATGAGCGAGCAGCGAAGTATTGAGGGGGGAAGGTGGCAGCAGAATGATTACGACAGAATATACTCTGCTTCACTTTGTATTTCTGTGAGGAAAAAGCCAAATAGTTGGTAGTGTCAAATTACTTATCAAACTCTTTCACCGAGTAGAACTTGCTACATTCTGCAGTCAGCCGGATTCTACAGTGTGTGACTGGGACCGAGCTGCACTCCCGTTCTCACAAGGGAAAGCAGACAGCAGCGGGCCTGCTCAGGCCTGGGTGTACGGCCCTGAGTCTGAGTCGGGCAGCCCTTGCTAAGTAGAGATGGCTGATTTTCTCAAAATCAAAAACTGTGCAGAGCAGGCCTGGGGGAGCAGCTGGATTTTCCTCCTCTATGGCTTATCCCTGGGGAGGAACCTGGAGGGCCTTCTGCACTCCCTCACTGCAACTCTGCTCTCACCTTCGCATCGTCATGGCCCTGTTTGCACTTGTTACAGATGAGCCAGTTATTTTTGGCTTTGTTCATTTGATGTAGGTTACTTGGAGTTTATTTTCAATTCTTCCCTATTCAACTGCAGGTTTTCAGTATAGTAACTCTTGTATCATCTGACAAATATCCATGAATTTCAGGCACCAGTGAACAATTTGTCTCATAGCTCTGATTCTTTGTTGAAATCAGTTACTAGTTTTGATTCCTTGATGAATCTTTTTTAACGTGGTGATTACAAAATTGGACCCAGACATTGGACAGACTTGGCTTTGAATCCCAGCACCATCATTACCTAGCTCTGTGACTTTGGACACGTCCACCTAAGGACTTTGTACTCTGTGGGAATAACAACCATCTGCTGCCGGCTAGGCCTGAGGGCTGAACCACTAATTCGGTGCATCAGCTTTGTGCTTAGCTTCCACAGACTATGTTGTAGCTGCTGCTTCTGTCATGCTCAGTACAAAGAAAGGAAGTCAGAATTAGGTGCTCTGATACTTTGACCATCTCATGCCATCTTTTTTGTCCATTTAAAATGTGAAATATCTTGAAGTGATTACAGACACTGAAAGCGGCCATCAGAAAACAGAACTGAAGGCCAGGGGCTTAGCTCAGTGGTTCCACCGTCTGCCTTCCAAGTGCAAGGTCCTGAGTTCAATCCCTGGTACCAAAAAAAGAAAACAAAGCTGGCAAGTAACTTTTGTGCATGCTAGTGTCCTTGGTGGTGAGCAAAGATCCTCTTACTAGTTGCACTGGGAATGCAGACCCTTGAGCCAGGAGCTAACCCTAGAACTCATGGGCCTGGCACCTGCCCTCTATGAGGTACCCAGGATGAGGCAGGGGCACCTTGTTGCTTTAGGGGCCTCCCAAAACTTATAAACTGTCATCTTCCAAGGTTCTTGGGAAGGTCTGCCTAATCACTACTCACTTAATATTTGTAAGAAAAGGAGTAGCTCTAAAATCAGTTTTTGCTTTTTGTTTTCCTCACAGATTTGTGAAAGAAAAAAGACCGACTATATCTCCAAACTTCAACTTTCTGGGCCAACTTCTGGACTATGAGAAGAAGATCAAGAAACAGACTGGAGCATCAGGGCCAAAGAGCAAACTCAAGCTGCTACACCTGGAAAAGTCAAATGACCCTGTCCCTGCAGTCTCAGAGGGTGGACAGAAGAGTGAGATGTCCCTCAATCCATGCTGTGCCAACTCTGCTACCTCAGAGGCAGCAGGGCAAAGGCCTCTGCATCCTGCCACCGTGCCCAGCATGCAGCCATCACTGTTAGAGGACAGTCAACTGGTGCAGGCGCTCAATGGGCTCCACCTGTCCTCAGATAAGCTGGAAGACAGCAGTAAGCTCAAACGTTCCTTCTCCCTGGATATCAAATCGGTTTCGTATTCAGCCAGCATGGCGGCATCCTTACATGGCTTCTCATCAGAAGATGCTTTGGAATACTACAAACCCTCCACTACCCTGGATGGGACCAACAAGCTCTGCCAGTTCTCCCCAGTTCAGGAAGTGTCAGAGCAGACTCCAGAAACCAGCCCAGATAAGGAGGAAGCCCACATCCCCAAGAAGGCCCAGCCTGCCAGGCCTCCAGAGAGCCAGAGCAAGCGACTGCACACAGTAAGAACCAGCAGCAGTGGGGCCACCCAGAGGCCCCTCTTATCTCCACTGCAGCGAAGTGGGAGTGTGGAAGACAATTACCACACCAACTTCCTCTTCGGCCTTTCCACCAGCCAGCAGCACCTCACCAAGTCTGCTGCCGGGCTGGGCCTCAAGGGCTGGCACTCCGATATCTTGGCTCCCCAGACCTCTACCCACTCCTTGACCAACAGTTGGTATTTTGCCACAGAGTCCTCTCACTTCTACTCTGCTTCGACCATCTATGGAGGCAGTGCCAGCTACTCTGCCTACAGCTGCAGCCAGCTGCCCACTTGTAGTGACCAAGTCTATTCTGTGCGCAGGCGGCAGAAGCCAGGTGACAGGGCTGACTCTCGGCGGAGCTGGCACGAAGAAAGCCCCTTTGAAAAGCAGTTTAAACGCAGAAGCTGCCAAATGGAATTTGGAGAGAGCATCATGTCAGAAAACAGGTCTCGGGAAGAGCTGGGGAAGGTGGGCAGTCAGTCTAGCTTTTCAGGCAGCATGGAAATCATTGAGGTCTCCTGAGGAGAAAGCCTTGTGATTGCTATTGACAGATTTTCTTGTTCACAAAAAGTTTCCCTGTAAATCTGAAATATGTATATATATACATATATATTTTTGGAAAATGGAGCTGTGGTGTTAAAAAGCAAGATGGATCAACACAGTTGTTCTCTCTCAATATCTGCACTTGAGGGATGAACTACTGTTTCTCTCAAAAGTGGAAGGGCAGGTGCTAGAATTCCCCTACGCAGAGTAAACAATTCTAGTCAGTGAACCGCTTATCTTCTCATTCCTACAAAAGCAAGTTTATCCCCTCCACTGACTGTCACACCGTGCCGCAGAGATCTCAGATGCTCAGTGATCCCTGCCCAATCCCTTCCACAGTGCACCTTAGTGCTGAGACTGAGCCAGCTGTGGGCCGAGTGAGGGAGCCCTCTTGGGGACGGAACCCGAGAGGTAAATCCCAGAGAAACGATCCTCTCCAAAGCTGATGCCCAAACCCAAGCTCACCCACCAGCCAAGTGATAGGCACATCACTCTGCCGGACAGACCATGAGGGGCCTCGCCCGGATCCACGGTAGAACCAACCCAGTACCTCAGACAGGACAGTCGGGGCTTTCACCACTACCATGTCTGGGAGCCCGTTTTCTAGGCATTGTGACTAGGTAGCGAGTCAGTTTCCAGACCAATTCAAACTGTATGTGCACAGAATTCCAGTTAGTAATGAATGCAGTAGTTCCTATTTCCGAAAGAAGGACGACTACCTAGGATTCAACCTGGCCAGGATTCTGGCAACATGATTTAAGCTAAAGTTGGGAGGCTAACCATGTCTGCCTCCCTCTATAAATCAAAGAGTTGTTTTAAATGGGGGGTTTAATCCTTTAATTGAAGGCTGACTTGGTTTAAAGCCAATGTGAATTACCTGAGTTGGTAACAGAGTGACAGAACCTTCAAGTTCTCAGCCAAAAATTGGTGTTTTCCATTTCTGTTTCATTGCATGGCTAGTTTGTAAAAGTGTAACAAAGCAGAATTGTATAGGAAACCACCTGGAGAGAAAACTACAGAGAGATTAAGGAAGGTAAAAATTACTAAGAGAAGCAGAAACGTTTCCTTGATGGGTTTTTACCCCTTGGCATGAGATGAAGGTGATATTTCTGTAATTCCATCAGGCTTTTCAAATTCACGAATAGGGCTAGAAAGGTTTTAGGAAACAAGGAATATTCAGAATAAAACAGTATAGGAAGATGAAGAGAAGGCTGCTGGATCTTGTTCAGCTGTGAATAGAAAGTAAGTCACAGCCAGCTCTTTTCAAAAACTGCCCTGCGTGTTTTTAGTATCAGAATGGAGGGAGACAAGGTGGTCTCATGTCTGTGACCTACGGTCATGTGTGGAATCAGTTCTGGCAGCTGAACTCAGGCAGCGATTAGAGCAGTGCACAAGTAACTGCGGATCTGGCTTGTGTTATCAACTGTTGGACAGTCCTCTTTTGAAGCCTTAATTCACATCAGCAGCTTTTGGCGGGGTAAGGAAGGGGGCAGGTGTTGTCAGTGTTCTTTACTGTAAGTGTAGCTTGTTGATCACTCGTATCTCAGGTTTTTCTATGTTTGAGAAATGGACAGTCCTCTGAGTAGGATGGGACTTCATGTTTCCTATGGTGACTGCTATGTGTGTCAGCACAGTGACATGATTCAGCACTGGCTCAGTCATGAGGGTTGTGGGCTTCACAGACAAAACTGGTTGTGTACAAATAATGTGCTACAATGTGGGTGTAAGCTGCACGGGGAGCATGTTGTTAGCATACTGAAAAGGTTCTTTTAAATGATCTCATTTTTCTATGTACACCTTTTACATAATCAAGCATTCTAAAGCTTTCACGTGGTAATTCCGATGTGTCATGTAGACACCAAATGTGTAACAGAATTCACACCCAGAACCTGGTTCCATCTGTCAAACATTTTAGAGATGAAACCAAAAGAGCTCCATGGTTAAAGCTGTTTTCAGACGTGATCATTGGACAAAAGTTTGCCTTGTGTCATTTAGGGTTTCTCTTTGCCATGGTCCCCTCCTTCCTGTCACTGTGCCTTGGTCACACACTACAGCCATTAGTCCTTGAACACCAGTGTCCCATCACCAGTTGTAGGAATCAAGAGCGCCATGCCCAGGCAGCCCAGGGCAAGGCCAGGTGCCACCTGCCGAGCTCAGTGGCTCCCTGCAGCGCGCAGTCACAGGGAGGCCTGGAGTCGACCAGGGCCACACAATGATCTACACAGCAGAATTAGACTTCTGGAGAAATGCGGGAAGATGGCTTCGTACGTCTGTAAAGTTAGGTGTAAAGGCTATAGAAATGTTAATCTGCACATCGTGTTCCTTTGGAGTGAGGCAAGTTGTTGAATGGTTAAATTGTGCATTTCTCATTTTGGTGTGTCATGTATGTTAATATGATGAAATAAAATCAGAACTGGTACCTGTTTATATATAAATGTGAGAAAGGACTTTTTTGCCGAGAGACTTGGTGGAAACCGGCAACCAAGCTGCCAAAGGCGGTAGTGGTAGAGCCTTTCCTGCCATTCTCAAGTGAATGGAGATTTAGCTCAAAATAAAGTGGTGGTGGTGTCCGAGCTGGTGTGTGCTCTCGTTCGCTGGCCCCTGGGTCAGGGGCGGACACTAGTGCCTGCTGCTTCCTTTATCATGCACACAAGAATGGGGTGGGGAAGGGACCAGCTACACACTTCTGCACATTTCCATATAATATTGTGTGTGATCTTGTAATTACAGGAAGAACTGAGGAAGGATCAATATTAAGGATCTGTTGTCCTTAATGACCTACCTCTGTGGATGACCTGGATATGACAGGAGACTAGTAGCTTAGTCATCGGTTTAATACAAATTACGTTTTAGAGGAAATGAATTTACCTTCAGTGCAAGCAGATGGAATGACTGTCAGCCAACTCATAGTGGCCTCACTGAATTTTAGGCTGATTAGATTTAAGAACATTTAAAGGCAAGAAGGATTAGACTGGCTGAGCTAGCACTAGAACTGGCTTGGCCAGAACAGTACAGAAAAACAGGTGGTGGGAGGAGACACACAGCTCTCCGGAGGGGGACAGGCGACCAGGGAGAGGCGACCTGGTAAGACTGGGGAGGCCTTGAGCCAAGCTCTCTGCTTACTTGCAGGGCCAGCCCAGCCCGTTGGAGCCTCCCAGACACAGTTTGGACCCGGCACTACATATCTGACAAAAACTTCACTAAGGGGCTAATTGGGAAGGTGTAGGTTTCCAAGACATGGAGAAAAACAGTATGTGGCAGACCTGCAGTGAGCCCTGAGTGTCCAGAGACGACGTGAGGGTAGAGTGTGTACCAGAAGTAGTTAATGAAGACTTTTTAGCCTCAAAATATTCACTGTTAGTTTATAAAAACTCTTGTCTAGGTTCTGTTTTTCTGACATTAGGCAGGAATGTTTTACGTCTAGTAAACAATACTTGTCTAGGCACTTTATTATTCTACGTCTATAAAAGGAAAATGGAAACAAGTGATCTCTAGCATTCTGAGGCCTGTTCATCCTTGTACAGCAGTATTCTACTTGGTTTTATCTTTAAAACGTTGTGAAATTAACTGGAAAATTGCAGCACTGTCTTGAAAACTTAACATCAGTCATATTATTGCAGTTTGTGGTTATGTAGTTTCATTCTTTTGGTGCTAGATTAATCAGACTTAAAAAAATACTGTCTCACAGGAAATGCAAAATGTGACCTTGAAACGGTGTCCTACACAAACAGGGTGAGCTGCAGAGGGTTAGCTTGGCTGAGGCCTGGGCTGCCTCTGGTCAGGGAATGACAATTTCAAAGTCTGAATTGAAAATACTCGGTTTTCAAAAGATTTCAGCATAAATCATGCCTCCAGGAATGAACTCTGATTGGTGAAGAAAACTGATTTGGGTCATCAGTAAATTCCAACAGGTCCCTACTGGCATGAGGGCCCTGCGGACATCAGGGTGGCACTGGAAAAGCACCTGCAGCTGAGGAAGGGCCATTCTGGGTCCATCTCCCCTGGGAGCCCCGCCTCAGCCCCCAGTAACACCAAGGGCCTCTGAAGGGCACTGAGGAGCCGAACAGGCAAAGGAAATGGCTCACCGACAACAAAGGTTGGACTTCCAGGCTGGCTCCTGATCCCTAAGACATCCACAGCAGCCAGGTAAGTCACCAGGTGTTAAATGTCTCCCACAACGCAGTCATTCGATTCTCAGGATTCCCTGGAGAAAGAGATGCAGAAGAGGGACGGGCTGGTGCCACCAGGTCACCACACGGGTGTTTCCCATCAGAGAACCACGGGGAATGGTGCAGGACACGGGCGTGTCCTCGGGATCCGCTGACGCAGTGAGGGAGCTGGTACAGTCTCGGCGGGCAGGTGGCAGGCCAGTGCCCGGCCAGTGCCCAGGGGAGGACAGCAAGGATGGTGGAGACCTGCACCTGCCCTCACCAGGACCCACGGTGGCCCCTCCTCCTCCTAGGCTGCCCCAGAGGACTGGAAGGAGAAGCGAGCACACATTTGCCCCGGACTTGGAAGCACTGAAGGCAGGGTTCCGAAGGAGCTGAGGGCACCGTGGTCCAGCCCAGAAAATAGGCACAGGATGAAAGAGGGCCTGACCCAGTCGACTTTCAGGGGATAAGCAAGGCGACTGCTGTGTTCCCAGCCATGTCTCGCAGGACTTCTCCCACAGCCAGCCCTCATAAGAAAGAATAGAAAGGAGCTAAGCCAAGATGGTAACACTGCAAAACTACCACACACTGGGCAGATGAACATGAACTCCTTACAAAACGTTGATTCTGCCAATTGCTCTTCTCAGCCTCAACCCAGTAATAAGCAGACTATCACACGTCCGTCTACTCTGGACCCAAATCTTAACACAGTGTTTGTAAGAAGAAAAAGGTGGCTGGCTGAGGTTTTTCATGATGGGCTGGGCCTGCCTTTCTGCCTGCCCCAAACCATTACGTGCTGACACAGCGAGAAAGCCCCACCTGGGAGGCTTCCTCACCACAGAGTGCGATTGTGTCAGTCACACATTTTCATTGCTCTGTAGACAACCTGCCGTGGCTCCTCAGAAGGCACAAGGATGTCCCTGTGGTCAGAGTTGGATTCTACACACTGAACTCAAAAAAGCATGATGGCGATGGCTTCAAAATGCCGCCTCTTGCTGGGTATGGTGGCCCTTATCTGTAATCCCAGGACTCTGGGAAGCTGAGGTAAGCTCAAGTTCAGCCTGGGGAATTTAGCAAGATCTTGTCTCAAATTACTTTTTAAAAAGTAAAAAATCAAAATAAAAACCCCACCTATCAGACTAAGTGAAGGAAATAAGAGTTATTCGTTGTATTCATTCAGTTTATGCTTCTTGGAAATTTTTTTAAAAATACAGAGAGACAATCTAGCCATTTCAAACACTGGAATAAACAGTATCGTGAAATTATTACAGCACTACAAACACAAGCATCACAGAATGAAGCAGTGCGGAAAAGGGGAGAGGATCAAAAGTCCAGCGCCAGATCCTCAACGATGTGACAGGGCACTGTAATCAGAGGGAAACGTGTCATTTAGTACAGGTGGCCACCTCTCTTCACCCTGTAACATTTCCTGGGATGACCTTGCTACTTAGGTTTCTAACTTACAGAGCATCTTTCTTGATTAGCACCTTCTAAGGAACTGCCTGAGAAATGGTTGAAGGACCCAGTGAGATCCTGATCACCAGAAAGAACTTAGAAAACGAGCTGTCACTGGTGACCCAACACAGGGGAACAGCTCCCGCTTCTGGCTCGCCACCCCAGTTCTGCACAATGCCCTCTCAGTGTACAGCTCTGACTTCCCATGGGGAAGGGAAGGCAACAGTTCCCAGGAAGGTGGAGGAATCGAATGCTTCCCTGGGCTCTTTCCTGGGCTCTAGGTTCCAACTTGGCTTCCTAGTTCTGAGGAAATGAACAATCTTGGTTTTTATTTTTGGTCATTAGAAAATACTAGAAGCTAGGCAGGCAGGTCTATAATCCCAGCATTCTAGGAAGCTGAGGCAGGAGGACTGCAAATTTGTGTCCAGTCTGGACAATTTCGTGAGGTCCTGTCTCAAAAAGGGGTGCGGGGCTGGCTCAGTGAAAAGGCCCAGGGTTTAATCCTGACTGCTGCAAAAAGAAAAAGGAGGGAAGGCGGGAGGAAAGGAAAAAAAAAAAAAAAAAAAAAA